CGTATTAAAATACATGCTACTGCTAAATTTTACACTCCTACAATCAAAATAAACGTCGCTATCTTCGAAATTCTAAAAGATTATATTCTAAAAATACCTTCAAATTTACGAAAATTTTAAAATTCTTTTGAGTTTTTAACTTCGAAATTGTAAAATGTTATAAACAAAAATGGCAGTTTTAGCGAAACTTTGCGATTTATAGATTTTTTTAACAGCTTTAGAATTTTTTCCAAAAAAAATTCCAATTTCCGAAAATCTTTATGAAAACAAAGAAACCTTATGCTTTCCATGTTTCGGCCTATTTGACCAGCAAAAACTGATTTCAGTTTAGTTAAAAATGTTGAAACTTACTATTTTTTAATGTAACTTACGCCCTTTTGGGTTTCAGAAAAGACAAATTCTCAAGGGCGTAAGTTTCATATCTCCACAATTAAAACAAAAACCGCAAATTTTTCTTCAAATACTAATTCGTCAATAAAAATATGCTTAACTTGAGAAAATTTTGAAAATTTTTGGATTATTTATCACTTTAAAAGGTTTTTTGCTTCTCCTGAAAAATGTGTTCAATGTAACTTAGGGCTTTTTGGATTTTATATGACGATATGTATGTTTGGAAGTTTGTTATTAAAGAAAATACTTTTAAAATGATTCTTTACAGATTTCTTCTCAAATTCTCGTATGCACCGATGCTCGTTTTTGTGAATTGAAAATACAAAATGTAAATAATCTCATACACTATTCAATGCCCACCTCTTGGACTCAATTTACTACAAGATTTTCTGCTTTAGCACGTACCTACAATAATTACGTTAGCCAGAATTTTGAACAAATATCAATTGCAACCACAACTTTTGAGGCGAATAAACATTGTGCACATTCCATGATACTATTAGATGAAAATAATAGTTTGCAATTACCGCGACTCGTTGACTTTATGCGTAAACACAATCAAACTGTGCACGAAGAAATTCTAGCAGTTTCAAAGCGAGTCTTAATAATGCGCGAAGAGCAAAGAATTTTTAAGGGTTCACTTTTATGTCCACAACTTTTAGAGTTTGGCGAATGTGATGAGGCTCGCTGTGATAGTCGTCATGAGTTGACACGTTTTGATGTAGTCAGCAAAAGCGATGGTATTCCCTGCGGAGGTGAAATTCGTATACACGTTTTGAAAGTTTTTTCCCCTACCTATTATGCAGTACGTTTGTTACACCATAAACTACCCAATACTACGAAGTGGTTAGAAGTACGTCGTTCCAGTGAAGCTTTAACGTTTAGTATACAACTAAATATGCATTATCGCAATGACAATAATCTCTTTTTACATTGGCCTCCACAACTTAATGATTTGTGCATATATCAGTATGCTGAAAACTTTCGCAGGGCACGTATACTAGAAGCTCCTATTTTCCAGCAAAAGAGTACCAATGTGGTTCAATCTAATTTGAAAGTAACTCTCCGCCTGATTGACGATGGTACTATTATAAGTTCTGTTAAATGCAATGAAATCTTTGTGTGCGATGACAAATTTAAAGATTTCCCCCCTCAAGCTGTCGATGTTCGTTTAATGAATATTGTACCATTTGACAATGAACGTACGTGGGACTCGAAAACTACGAAACAAGTACAAAAATGGATAATGGAGGATATTAAATCGAATTATGTTGTTCAGGCGAGCATTGATTTTGCTCTAGCGAATACAATTTGGGTAAAGAATGTGGTCGTTATGGAAAAGTTGACTGGTATTGATGCCTATTGTCAGGTGGTTCATTTGAAAAAGTCATTAGTTGGTAAAAATTTCGGTGTCCTATACAATGGTGAACGTAAGCATGTACGTGATCTTGCTGAGGAATTTGGCTTACTAAATGCCACTGACATAGACGAAGACGTCGATAACTGTGATTCTGATCTCGATTTTCAGTCGTGTAAAAATGAGAGCATTAATTTAATTAAATTTTCCTCCTCAAATGATGAAGATGCCACTAATAGTAGTATGGAATCGGCTAAAACTGGTTTAGAACCCATAAAGACAGTTGAACATAAACTAGAGGTTAGTGTTGCTGCTACTAAAGAAATTGTGAAAAATGAAGATTGGGATGATCAATTGGAGAATGGCGTTGATCAACGTGATGAGGTAATCTTAATTTGGTTTAGCAATATATTGTATATTATGTAGATCTCGAATATATTTTTTACAAGCTTTCAATGGTTGTTGGTATGTTGTTCCTTAAATAAGCCTCAAATCTAAAAAACATTGAAAATCTGTGATCACTTTTATTTCTTACCAAAAATCGTTTTTTATATAGAAAATAAAAAATCGACTGTAATTCTTTAAATCAAGAAAATTAGTATTTTTCATAACTTCCTAATTTGGTCGTATTTAAATCGTTTTCCTTATAGCGATGATTTTTTGTTATAAATCTTTTAATTTGAAACATTTTGAAACTTGTTTGCAGCATTAGTCAAAATATTGAGTCCTAAAAACACTGCCGGACAACATGTAATCAAGTGTGGTTTTTAGACCAAGCTGAGTAAATCACAATACTATATTTGAAATTCTTATATACTTATTGGGAGTTATTCCCCCAAAAACGGATTTTTAATTCGATAGAAACAAGCGATATCTCATTTTATTTGGAAGATAATTTACTAAACAATAGCCCCCATATTTATAAACTTTTAATAAAGTTGTTGATGGTTTATTGTAGGAATTTTGTATGGAAAATGTGTGTAATAAACCTAAAATAAACGATTTTATGAATACGGGGGTAAGTTTCTTAATGTTTCGAATGAAAATGGTTGGTGAATTACTTTAATAAGGTTATAAACTATATTTGATCACGTGGAGAGTAATATTCGTAATTTTGTCACACCGTGTATTTAATAATCTTAAACTAAGTTTTTTTTTTGTATTGATCTTTTTGACTCTTCCAGGTTTATGTACCACTTAACGCCACTAATATACCAAATGAAGACAATAAGCAATCTCAAGTTAGCCAACCAACTAAAAAGGAAACCTGGACCCAATTGCCCTTTAATGAAATCGTAAAAGTTGAAATTGGCGATGAGGGAGAAAATGGTAATTGGGAAAATATATTTTTGCAAATTATTGATAAAAATTCCATGTTTCTATTTGATGAGCTTAACAAAGTGATAAATGAACATGTGAACAATATTAAATCGGCCAATAATAAAGAAAATGAAGTATACGATTTTGAACCATTACACAATTGTATAGTAAAATACAACAATCTTTATGTAAGAGCTAAAGTCTATGGTGTGTTTGGTGAAAAAAAGGAGCAACGTTTATATAGATTTTTCCTATGTGATTATGCCTGTTTTACAAATGCCAAAACAGACGAATTGTACAATGATTTTCTCTATGAAACAACTGATGAAATTGTTACCTTCACTCCCTATCAAGCAGTACATTGTACTTTAGTTGGCATAAAATGGGATCGTTTTAATAAAAGATATCAAGTTACGAAAGACTATTTATATGCATGTGCTGTTTTGGAAAATGAAAAGCCGGCCTCCAATTTGCATAACTTGCCTATAAATTCCTATAAAATTTTATTATATGAGTGCGAGCAAGAAAATGATTTTAAATCTGCTTTATTGTTTAACAAAACTTTAGTGGATAATGGTATTACTGTATACGATGAAGAAACAAAAAATTTCTTGGAATATGAAATCGGCATGGAAGATAAGTCTGAGGAAATAGAGGAAATAAAAGATGTTGGCAAAACTTACAAGAAAGATGAAGTCTTAACGTTTGAACAACTAATGGATTTTATTAAAAAGGATGTCTTCGATATTGAACTGGATGACATGATGGAAGATATACAGAAAACAACCATAAACAATAAAGCTATTGAGTGTAATAAACAAAGCGTCAAGCAATTGAATACAAAAAGTGATGAAAATGAAAATATTTGTAATAATCGTGAAGAAATAGCAATTACCAACAAGGACTTAAAACAAAATCCAAAATTAATCTCATCAGATAGTGAAATAGATGAACAGGGACATTGCACTAGCTTCTCAAATAGTAGTATAAAATCTTCCATTTCATTAAGTTCTACCGATATTTCCAATTGTTCCAAAGAAGAAGTAACAGCGTATAACATACCACCCCCCTTAACTGCTTTACATAAACGTCCACTAACTACGTGGTATGAAAACGATTGCATGATCTTTATATCAATTTATGCTCCTGATATTAAAGACTATTTATTAGAAGTGTCCGCAAAAAATATTCTATTTGTGGCAGAGATACAAACAGAAAAATCTGTTTTAAATTTAAATCTTTTAGGTTCAATAGAACCGCAAAGTGTTTCTCATGAAATAAAAGGTCTTAATGTTGTTATACGTTTGAAGAAAATTGTTTACGAAAAATGGCCGAGATTATTGAAAGAAACCACAAAATACTCTTGGTTAAAATACAATTTCAATGCTTTCGATTCTATTGAAATGGAATACATAATGCCTCAACAGCGACTACACACCATATTGGACAATGAATTGAACTTTGAGGCACAACAAATTGATAATTATAATTCCGATGAGGATAGTGAACGTGAACTTTACCAAACATACAATCCTATTGCAGGCAATGATGATGACTGCGATCCATTTTCTGCTCTTTAAATTTTAAGACTAGTGACTTAAGTTTTTTATTATTAACTAACGCTATGAATTATTTGTTATGTGTTAATTTTTTTATGAATTTTATTTTTTAAAGACCAATGAAATATGAATAATTTAAAATGTTTTTTTTAAATATGCAAAAATACTTATAAAGAAAATGCTGTAATTTGTTTTGTTGTAATCAAAATAGAAATTTTTCTAGTTTGATTTTTATTAGAAATAAAACTATGTTTCTTTGAAATTCAATCAATATATTAATTGGAGTTTCCGTTCCGTATGATAACTAGAAACGTAGAATTGTCAATTTCAACAAACAGGTGGCTATTATTTACTATGAAAATTATACACTAATTTTAGATTTTCTTCTCAATAATTTATTAAGCATAAATTAAATTAATTTCATATTATATTTGTATGTACATACATTAGAATTATGTATTTTTTTACTTAAACAATGACACTAAACATTACAAAATCGACAGACACATCAATTAAAACACATTTATCTATGGATGTTTGCATGTACATTTAATTTATAATGGTATTTCTTGTAGATCTTTTAGATGTTGGTTTTAAATCCTCCACTAAAGTTTTAAGATGTGACACATCGTCTACTTCTACATTATGAGCGGTTATCATATGATGTTTAAGCCTACAAAAGAAAAACAATAATTAATTTTGTAAAAAATTATTAGAAAGCTAAAGTATTAAACTTAACACTTACATGTGCGGTTTCAAAAAGGCCTTTTCACACAAATCGCAACGATAACGATGCTGTGAATGAACCTTATATATATGATCCTGTAGACGTTTTCTCGTATGAAAGCATTTGGTACATGTAGCACACTGAAAATTCTTCTCTCCCGTATGTATGAATGAGTGATCAATTAATTGCTTTCTTTGGCGGAATGCCGCTTGACAACCATCGAAATTGCATACAAATGGCTTTTCATCACGATGCATTCTATAGTGTAGTATAAGCTGTGATCGGCGAGCAAATTTCTTACCACATTCGGCACATTCGACTTTTTTGCCAAAATGTAAAGCTTGGTGAGTGGTTAGAATATTTTTCTGTCGAAATGATTTGCCACAAACATTGCAGGTGTAGGGTTTAACACCGTTGTGTATATTATAGTGAGATTCAATATCGTAAACACGGTTGAACGTTTTATCTGAAAGGATATTAAAACAATTTGAAGATAAGAAAAAATTAAATTATAGAATGTTTTCCACTTTTATCAAAAACAAAACATCATCAGATTCATCGTTAAATATTACACCCTGTAACAATTTGGAAAAAAGCTTTCACACATAGAAAAGTTGATATGCATGTGAAACTAGATTCCATTTATAGAAGTTCTGCGTACTCCGATTTTCATAATCAGCTCTTATGGCCTTATACAATTTCAGACTAATATTTTAAATATTTATATGTGTTGTATGATGCTAATATTGGTATCAAACGAAAGCTGGGAATCTGTACATTCTATCTATATTATTTGTTTGACATTATAAAAGGTCTCATTTTCAAAACAAAAATTTTAACTGCTTTTTTGTGACAAATTTTCTTTAAGCTTCCATTTCTTTGCTAAGAAGAATACTTTTTGAATACTTTTAGAAAATGTTATACTTTTAAAAAATACATTTTGGTTAAGTTTTGTTGTTTTTATACTCTACATCACTATATACCTTACACAACCACCAATAGGCTCAGAATCACTTTTTAGGTCTACTAAAATTTATAAGGATTGGCCCATATTTCTCCATGCACCAATATTGTCCGACTATACTGTTTGCAACTAGGTATTCAATTTAACAATTCTTTTTTAATATTATAACCAAGATCTCAACTTACCACAATGTTGACATTTATAAGACATTTTAACTTTTCCACTTTCATCAATAGTTGTTGTCATAAAGAACGCATTCTGCGTTGTAGTTTCAGTATGTTCTTCCATAGTCTCTTCAATTGTTTCATGGATGATAGTACTTTCACTGGAATTTTCCGTTTCAACTTTTTCATAAGAAAATGAACGATAATCCACTCCAAATGATTCCGTAGCACCAGCAGCTGATTCATCAATAGTTGGAATTTCTTCAATTTCAACTTCTTCATCCTCTTCTACTTGATACTCATATTCGATAATTTCTTCATTAACCTCTTTAGTGTTGTCCTCGTCGTAGTCGTCGTCAATATCTTCATCATCATCACATTCGCTAGGTCCAATAATTTTAATTTCACTATCATCAGCATCGTCATCATCAACATCATTTGTGTCATCGGGCCAGTTAGTCAAGTCGATACCATTAAAATTCTCTATTTGAGTTGTCTCTTCGTCTTGTACGTTTATAGGGGAAGTTGGTGGTAAGTTATTGTTTTCTTTTTCCTGGTATATCTGAAGATTCTGCTCTACATCGGCTTGCAGTGAATGTACTGATTCCTGTTGCACTTCTTCCACAGTTTCGCCCGGTTGTCTACATGTAGGCTGTTTTATTCCTGTTGTGGTTACTGTGGTATCAGCCTCTAAAGAATGATTACTGTCTTCCACTAACGGCACTAATACACTTTGTTCAAATTGTAATTCCTTATTGTCGATGACAGCATCTTTCAAATCCTCGAATTGTGTTTTCCAAAATTCATCGGAATCTTTGCACTGTTCATGAAAATCTTGGAATTCGGATATTCGATTAAAACACGGTGCACATAAATTTAGTTTTACCTTGTCTTGTCGATTTGGTTTTGTAACATTTGTTAATTGTAAACATTTTTCGAGGAATCTCAATATGAGCCGTGTCATTTTTATTGGCTCATGATTAATTTCATGTAAACAAATACGACAATTATCAAATACATCCATATTATTACAAAAATATTCTAACAGCTACACAATATTTAAAAAAAATTATGGGTCGAAATTAATGTAATTTCGCCTATAAAAAATAAAATTTTCCGATGTACACTATACGGCTAATTATAAAAGGGGGTAGATGCTTGATCAAAACAGAGATGTACAAAAACAAGAGGCAAATTTATGTAGAAATGTAAAAGATCTGTCAAAACGTTTTGGTTGTTTTGTTTACAAAAAACAACAATTACAAGTAAGTGTGACAGTTGTATGTTACTGCTTATTAGTAAACATTAAACAGCTGTTCCATAGCTACCACCGTGTTTGTATTAAATAAGAGAAAGAAGCATTGCCAGAACGATTTTTTTCTAAATAAAGTTTAATAAAAAATACAATTTGTTAATTTAATATTAAATTTATTTTTAAATATTTTGTGGTTTTAAATTGTAGAATTTTTTCCCTTTAGCGATTATTACTGTGTCGTTTGAAGGTTAAGATATTTATATATTAGGGAATTCATTCATACGATTAATTTTGTCTATTAACTGTTCGAATAAAAGAAAATTGCCAAATTTGAAGTAACGAATAAACCGAATAACATCAATTAATATTGATCCATAATTATTTCAAAATAATAAAGAAAATTTAGCAAAGGGGGAATAATATATAAGTAAAATCTGACATGTCTGTGCAATTCCCTTCGGAGATAGACCTATCGGAATGATAAATTTAAATCGTTTCAATAGTTTATATAATTTTTGATGTACATATGTGTAAGAAAAATAGTACTATTGAAGTACTTTAAATAAATTTGATCATTTGTACACTACTTCTCATCCCTTTTGCTATACATTACATCTTTTGATTTTTTTACCGTTATAGTTGTTTTTGATTAATATCTTTGTAATTCTATTGTTTTTTATCCCAGTGTGTTAAAAATTTAAATAACTTAATGATTTAAAAAAATTAAGCCATGCGTATACCTGATGATGTAAGCAGTATTGTGTATTTAATTAAGTTTAAAATTAATGTTAATTATACGATCTTTAGGTTATTTGTAAAGTTTGTCAAGGTGTTTTTTGTTGTGCCGAATGTCGTCACAAACATGAAATAAAAAATCATGCCATAATTATTCGCAAACCTATTGAGATTCCAACTACGAATGGTGGTGGCAATGAAGCAGGTTCCACAGCTGTAAATGATACCGCAGCAGCTTACGAAACAATTTATCTCTTTTGCCCCATTTGCGAAAAACGACCCTTACCATTACAGCCGGAACTGCATAATGAAATGCTTGAGCATATAGAATTACATCACTTGCCACTGCGTTGTCAGAAATGCTTTAAAATCTATAATAAAGTTGATGATCTTAAAGAGTTTTCAAAATGTATACATCCTAGCGCTGTGTGTCAAAATCAGGAATCCATTAACTCAAATCAAACTTGTTACACGGATGAAGCATCTAAAGTCACCGTTACTAAGGCCACAATGCCTCATTGCATCGCAACACAAAATTCTCCAATGAGACGTCATGATTTTAACGAAAGCCACCTGACGCCGATATCGGTAATAAATATGCGTTGGAAAGCCAAAAGTAAATTAACCCACGAAGAATTTATAAGTGATAGTGTTTCGTCGATAAAGAATATATCATCTATAAGTAATTCTTCGATCAGATGTAGTATGGGAGTAGCCTCGGCAGTGAAAGGCAAAGTTATACGATGTTCTTCGACGCCCGTTCATTTGGAAATGGTATTTGCTAAGCCAAAAGAGCAAACATTTAATGCGACTGGCGGTGGTCATATGTCAAGTATTCAATATAACAGTAGCTTGGAATCGGATAGTCCAGTTTTTCCTCAACCAAGCAGGTAGGTATCATTAAGAAACTTCCAAAAAAATGACGAGTTTTGATGAAACTTTTTAACCCTTTCCTCATGCAGGACTATAGTCGCTCTATTATTATTTGGAATAACCATGTAGAAATTTATTTTTCTCCTCTGTAATGAAATTTCCCTTCTTTTAATAGTCAAGCCGTTGAACCAGTGAATCGTTATATGAAAGTTGCAGGATCACGTCCTAGATTGTCTGCGGTCACACCCTTGCGACAGGTTATGTCTAAAAGTATTCAAAAAGCATTTGCAGAACATGGACTGCCTGCGTCCACAGCTCTTCGAGGTTCTAATGCCTTCCATCGTAAAAAGATGTTTGATAACACTTCATCGCCTGAGGTTAACGACGAACAATCTCCACAACCACCAGCTTTAGATTTACGTTTGTCGCCGGCCGTCCGACGTAGCCAAAGTGAAAGTGAGGAATCTTTACCACAACAACAAACTTATAATCAGCCAAAGCAACGTAATGATTTACCCAATTTAAGACGTAAAATTTTACTATCGGCCCAAAAACTTACAACCGAGTCCATTGTTATAACGCGCACGGAACATTTGTCCAGTGTTTCATCCTCTACTTCAGCAGCTAGTTCGAATGGTAGTATAAATTCTGTGAAACCCTATGCAAGTTCGACAAATTCCTCTTATCAATCGGCCGCTGGGACATCAAATAGCACAGGAGGTTCTGTATTCAAATCATGCAGCAGCGTTGAAATTATCACCGCCGCTACCGAACAGATTCAACAGTTACAATCTTTTGACACAGAAAACGTACGACACACAGCAATGCCACCTCTAACACCAATAACTCGTATTCCGGGCGCTGTTATACACAAAAATCTTATAAAATTTGAAACTCCTAAAATAGAGTCACGTGACTCGGTTGAATCTCAAAATTCTCCAAATGATGTATTTTTCACACCAAACTCATCACCGGCACATAAATCTAATGAAAATGAATCAGCCGAAACTAAACAGCGCAAACTTATGGTAAAACAAAATTTGAGTGGACGTTTTTCACCGCTACGAAGGCCTTATATAAAAGAATGTGCCCATAGCACAGCTTTCAGTCGTATAGAAAATATAACGCATGACTTCGATGATGATGTAGATTGCGTTGATGTTGAAGATGATGAGGTTTTTTTGCCGGAAGAACCCGAAAAATCATTACAAAAATCGGAATGTGAAGTGAAAAAATCAACTGAACCTCAACAGTCTAGTGGTTTGTGGTCCCTAATGACTTCAGTTATGCGTTTACCCTCACGTAAAGGATCGAAGACAAAGGATTCTCCAAAAAATGATTCATATGTATTGGTTGATGCTAATTCAAATTCTATAATCAAAAGATGTGCCTCCATAGCAGGTATACTATACAATTTTATACCTTTCGTAATTATATACAATCTGCCTGTTTCACAATATCGAAATATTCACATTTTTTGTCACACCGTGATACATTTTAATTTGTTTTTAAATTTTAGGATCTTTGGTTCGGCCTAAGCCATTAGTAGATGAAAATGAGTTGAGTTCCTTAAAACGTAAACGTACTTATACCACAGATAATCAGTCGACTTCAGCATATTTAGCCCAATTGAATAATTCGGAATCTACATCTCCTACCTCTGAGTTTAATACTTCATCAAAACGTTTCCGCATACAGGGACGCCGTCCAATAGATCGTATGCGTTTAAATAGTTAATATGATATTATATGTATTAAGTGTTTGGAATGTTTTAACTTGTTTTTAATAAAATTGTTTGTGAAATTAGTTTTCGACTATTTTTATTTATTGTACATCATAGGGTTAAATATTTCTGTATTTACAACCGTTGTTTTCTAAATACAACAATGTTTGTTTACATTTTTTTGCATTTTGTTTGTTAATCGTCGAATTTGCTTTTCAGTAATTCTTTGTTTGATGTAAACAAAGAAAAAAAAACAATATAATGACAATCAGCTGTTTGAATGCAACGATTAATTTGACATTGACGTGACATTTTCCATTTACAAGTGAAAATTTATTGTAAAAAATTTACATTGTTTAGTTTGTGGAAAAAAAATATTGAAAATTTGTGAAAATATTTGAAAATTCTTTAAAAAATATCAAATTTATTACAAAAAATATTGTGAGGAAGTGTAATTTAGCAAAAATTATGCTATAGAAACGTGTTGTAGATAAATAATCAACATCAGTAAAAATAAAAATAAATTTTGAGAAAAATTGTGAAATTATGTAAGTTTTCTGTATCATTTAGTGAAAAGTCAACTGCAATTTACGCAGAAATAAAAAAGCTAATTTAAACAGAAACAATTTTTTCACTTATATAGTTTTTCCACTTTGTCGATCGAATTGAAAAACAACAAAATATGCGTTCACGCAGCAATTCAGGCGTACGCCTGGACTATTACCAACGTATTGTTCATCGTTTGATTATGAGCCACCAGGAGCCCGTAACGGGTTTATTTCCAGCATCTAATATTAATTCGCATGCCTGGATCAGAGATAATGTATATTGTATATTGGCAGTATGGGGTCTGTCGATGGCCTACAAAAAGATAGCAGATCAGGATGAAGATCGTGCCAAATGCTATGAACTAGAACAAAGTTGTGTTAAATTAATGCGTGGTCTCTTAATGGCCATGATGAATCAAAAGGATAAAGTGGAAAAGTTTAAAATAACTCAAAATCCTTTGGATTCTCTACATGCTAAGTATTCTAGCAAAAACGGACAACCCGTTGTGGGTGATGCTGAATGGGGCCATCTACAAATCGATGCGGTATCATTGTATCTTTTGATTTTGGCACAAATGACAGCATCTGGCCTTCAAATTGTTTTCTCTTTAGATGAAGTATCATTTATACAAAATTTAGTCTTCTATATTGAATCAGCCTATTGTATTCCCGATTATGGCATCTGGGAACGTGGAGACAAAACAAATCATGGTGAACCTGAACTTAATGCCAGTTCTATTGGTATGGCTAAGGCTGCTCTAGAGGCCATGAACGAATTAGATCTATTTGGTGCCCGCGGTGGTCCCGCTAGTGTTATACATGTATTGGCTGACGAGGCACACAAGTGTCAAGCTGTTTTACAGTCAATGTTACCGCGAGAATCGAATAGTAAAGAACTGGATTCAGGTCTTTTATGTGTTATTGGATTCCCAGCCTTTGCTGTCGACGACCCACAATTGATACGTAATACCAAAGATGCCATCTTACAGCGTTTGCAAGGTAAATACGGTTGTAAACGTTTCTTACGTGATGGCTATCGTACACCTAAAGAGGATCCCACACGTTTATACTACGAAAGATGGGAATTGCGTATGTTTGAGAATATTGAATGTGAATGGCCATTATTTTATTGTTATTTGATATTGTTCCATGCATTTCAATCTGATAAGTTGGCTGTTAAAGAGTATGCAGATCGTTTGGAGGTGAGTAGGGAAGTTTTTAATTTTTTATTATTTAAAGGAATATAAATTAATAACTGCCAATTTTAAATGCTTTCAATTATTATAAACTTGATAATTTACTAGAAACCATAATATGGTTGTATCATGACTAGAAACGATGACATATAAAGTGGCATTAATGAATTCAATGAATAACACGGTGTGACAAAAATACATTATTAGGAAATTTTTACACATTAAGACCCTTTATTTAAATAATCTATTACGTTATCTGAAAGTTTTAGCCTCTTGCGATTTCGAAATTATGTTCCTTATGGCGTATTTAATAATTTATTTAAAAAATAAAAACTTTCAAAAATTTGTTTCCAGCAAATAATGGTTCGTGGAGATGATGGTATACTTTTAATACCCGAGAGTTATGCGGTAACACATGATACTGTACCGCAAGAATATCAAATGCCAGGATCACAACCCAGGGAAGTTGTAGGACGCTGTCCATTTTTGTGGGGTCAATCTCTATTCATTTTAGGCAGATTATTACAAGAGGCAAGTTTAAAAACTCATTTGAAACATATAAATAAACAGATATATTTGTTAATTTAGGGATTTCTAGCGGTGGGTGAATTAGATCCCCTCAATCGACGTTTGGGTGCTCAGAAAAAACCAGATGTTGTCGTACAGGTGGTTATAATTGCTGAAGATAATGAAATACGCGATAAATTGGCTGAATATGATTTGCATGTTCAAACCATAGCTGAGGTGGCACCAATTGAAGTTCAACCAGCTCGTGTTTTAAGTCATTTATATACGTATTTAGGCAGAAATCGTAAATTGGGTTTGACTGGTCGTAAGTCTCGTGATGTGGGTATATTAAGTACGAGTAAATTGTATTCTTTAAAAGATAGAATATTTGCTTTTACGCCACAGGTAAGTTAAAAAGTTTTTCATATATTTCTTAGTTAAGTTTTATTTTAGGTATAAAATCTATTATTAATTTTCTTTTATAGTATTTTATTTAATTTAATTTATTTTAATTTTATTTCTTTAATGCCCAATATTAGTTTGTCGACTTATCACGTTTTTATATCGCCTCCGACAATGAATTAATGATTGATATTTTAAAGGGCGAAATAAATTTTCTTAAGTCCGCTTGGGATTTGCTTGGACGTCCCTTGGTTACTTTAGTTTTGAAGAAAATTCATTTAGGTCTGTTTTAAAATTTTTATTTGAGTTTTTTTCTTAAATATTTGTTTTTGTTTACAGCATTATCAGTTATTTTTCTTATTATTTAAATTTTAATTGCAAGGGATGATGCATTTATTTTCTTTTAATCATTTCTGTCTAATTTGAATGTTTCTGTTTTATTTCTCGTATCAAAAGCAAGTTTTTATAGGTTCATTGTTGGTTATGGTACCTTTATGTTATTATGTTCAATTGGCAGTAGAAATAAATTGTTAAAATTATTGTTCATTAATATTTAAAGGAATTGGAAAAGGTGAAAATTTATTAGATTACTACATGACAGAGTAGTTAAACAAGATATTTTATTTAATACACTTATTAAAAAATAAAAATTCTAATTTTTGTTTTATTATACATTATATTTAAAGAATGATCTATTAAATTAAAAAATCTTGTTTAATATCTTCTGTATTATTATTAGATTTCAAATTGGTTATAGAGAAACTTGCTTTTGTTTACTGTATATTCCTTTTAACAGTTGTAGTTTTTTTTTATTTATTCTTAAATTTATGTTCAAACCTCTGTTACATACTTTAAATACCTGTGATATTTTTGCAATTTTATTATTTCTTTCTTTATTATTACTTTAAGTTTTATTACGCACACCAATAGAATTTTGAATATCATTATCACTGATTTGAGTAGTATTGTATAGAAAGCGATAAAGAGAAAAGAAAAATAAATAAAAAAAAACATTACAATTCATTTTACATATTATATATAAAAAATTATTTTCAAATTAATTTAATTAGCATATCGATTATGAAGAATATTACACCACACGTGATCCTGACTTGCTTGCAAGTAATTTCACCACCAATTTAGCTTTCCTAACAAATAATTGGCGTCATATGTTAGGAAGACCCACTATAACTTTAATGGCAACACACTATATGCTAGGTAATTACCCCATAAAAGTCCTTATTTAAAAGCAATAAATAAAATAATAAATAAATTTATCAAAATCAATCATACAATCATAACACAAAATAAAATTTATATAGTAAATTAAATCATTATTATTTTCGCTAAGCTTTTTTTAAAATCATTTTTTTGTTGCAGTTTTGTTTTTAAAAATATATTATTTAAACTACGCTATTTGGTATGTTGTCCTGCATGCTTAAAAATTTTGCTTTATTTAATTTTTCTTTTTTTTTGCCCTAAGTTTTTAATTTTTGTTTTATCTTTAAGATAATGTAACTAATAATAAAATTTTTTTTACCGTTCAATAGAATTTCTTGTAACTAATAAATTATTAACATAATTTCAATTATTTATCAGCGTGATTTTCTTTATTTAGTTTGTTATTACTCTAACATTAGTGTTTAAATGTTTGAATTGAATTTTCGATTTTGGAATGATGATAATAGTGATCAACCACAAATAATGAAGCCATACAAAGAATATGAATGTGTATATTCTAAAAATTTACTTAGAATTAAATAACATTACTTAAAAGCTTTAAGATCGTTTTATATGAAATTTAATAGAACTCCAAAGGACACGAAGATATTTTATAAATAATATGGAAATTCTCTGATATTTCTCATTCATTAAAGTCTCCAAATACTTTTCATGTAAAATATCGAAGTAAAGTTCCAATTTTCAAATTCGTATTAATGAACTCGAGTCTGATTTCATTCATCTTAATCTGCAGTTATACAGGAAATGGTTAAAAATTCTTTAAAATTTTAATAATATTTAAAAAAAATTATAAGTTCGAAATTTTGAAAATGTAAGAATTTGTATACAAATAAAACTAAAATTATATTTTTAAGAATTTTAATGATTTAGAGTTTTAAAAAAATTTTGAACATATAAGTTCAAATCTAAACAAAGCTTAAATCGTGAAACGACATTGAAAATATGGACTTTAAAATTCTTAAAAATTTTAATATTATCAAAATTTTTAAATTCGAAATTTCGAAAATGATAGAAATTGTCTGCAAAAATTCATCTTAATCTGCAGTTAAAAAAAATTATAAGTTCGAAATTTTGAAAATGTGAGAATTTGTATACAAATAAAACTAAAATGATATTTTTAAGAATTTTAATGATTTAGAGTTTTAAAAAAATGTTGAACATATCTAAACAAAGCTTAAATCGTGAAACGACATTGAAAATATGGACTTTAAAATTCTTAAAAATTTTAATATTATCAAAATTTTTAAATTCGAAATTTCGAAAATGATAGAAATTGTCTGCAAAAATTTCGAATATGGTTTTAAAAAGCGTATATTCTGGAGCTACATTAATTACACTTTAAAAATCAATCATTTTAACAGCTTTAAACATTTTTCGAACATATGTACATTCGAATTTTTGAACATATCTCAAAAGACTTCTTATGTATTGCGAAACTACATTGAAAATACTTCAAAATTCTTAAAAAATTTGAATTTCGAAAATGTTATAAATTGTCAACATTATGTTTTTTATGATTTAGAGATTATTTCGAAATTTCGAACATGCCTTAAAATGTATTTAATCTGAAATTATATTGAATAAACTTCAAAACTAATAAACATTTTAATTTCTCCCAAACTTTTAAGTTCGAAATTTGGCAAATTTAAGAAATTTAAATAAAACAGAAATTATTATACATATACATATTTAAGAATCAACATGATTTATAGATCATTTAAACGATTTTAAAAATTTTCCATAAAGTTTGAATTTATTATGAACTTAATTTCGAATTATGAACTAATAAAAGTTGTTATAAAACTATAAGCTTAAAGTACTTAGAATATATTTTTAACAAAAAAAAAAAAACCTACTGTAGAATATAGCTTCTTAGATTGTTAGTTACTCCTTAATGTAGTTTAATTAGAAATGTTACTAACAACTTATAATTTGTATGTTTTATAACGTTGAGCTCGTGGTTTATGCTAAATGTTTCCTTAAAGAAAAAAATACTAATAAAAATAATTTTTCTAACATTCCTAGATCAAGATAGAATACCCTTGGCCATGATACAAACAATGCGTAAACTAAAATCGGGTTATATTAATGGTACTCGTGTTATGTTGGGCAATCTTAAGGATTTCCTTAATACCTCTGCTATAACTGATTTAAGCTTTTTGGGCAGTACCGAAGATGGTTACCCCGATCGTTTACATCCCGATGTACAGACATATTTGGATGAACATTTGTTGCGTTCATTTAGTCATCGTAATACTATGAATCTAAGAGGTGGTCAATTGCGTCCCAGACATCTAAGGCGACGCATGTCCTGTAAGGGTGCTATTAAGAAAACTAGATCTATTAATGTGGATTGTAAGTAATAAGATTAATTTTTTGTAATATATTTTCCTTTAGCAATACTTTTTTTTGCTTGTAGCTGATAATTTGGGCATGGAGGGTCCTACACCTTTGACCGAAAGACGTTTATCATCAATTGTACCACCGCCCTGGTTGCAGGCTAATCAACAGACTCCATTAAATTCATTCTCCACTACACCTGAGGGAAGTGCTACTAATACGAATCAAAATCGTTCGGAAGTGTTGATACGTGAGAATATTTATCCAATTGATATCAATCATAGTCGTTCAGCTATAGAAAAACGCAGTGAGTTTGCTAGACAACAAGAAAGTGAGTGTTGTTGTTGTAGTCTTTGATTATTTTTTTTTTACCCTACATCACTATATCAGTTAATGATTTTACTTTTTCGAAAGCAAGGATTAAATTACAGTAAAATTATAACATTTTTATTTAGAAATTTTATAATTTCTTTTGTAAAATTTGTTTTTTTGTTTTGAAATACTGATTTAAAGAAATTTCATTAGTCTTCGGTATGTTTATCCGCATATTTATGTATGTTTTTATTGATTTTTTTTTAAAAAATTAGCTATTTTTATTTATTTCGCCACTTGTTTTCAAAGATTAAAAATTTACTTAATAAAGTTTTTAATTAGACGTGAAACCATTCTAGTGTGCTGTAGGGTACATTTATGTAACATTTTTATTATTATTTTACTTTCTACTTTTTCAGTTTATTATATTTGATTTAATTTTTCTTTTATTTTCATATATTTGCCATTAAACAAAATTTGTATGTATGAATTTATGCACATTAAATATTTGTTGAAAATGTTTTATTATTTCGGTTTGTGTGTAAATGTTGTAAAAAAAAACTTAACTTGTAAATAACAAATATGCTAAAATAGTCAACAATGTTCCTAAAATTCTTGTGCAACGCCATCGTACGGATACAAATTTTGCCGATACAGAAGTGGAAGAGTTAATAGCCATGCTAAGAGAAACGGAAAATCTAGAAGAACAAGGTGACATCTTACAATATTTGGTAGATACCCAAGGATTAGATTTCAATACAGGTAAGTTGTTGTTATTATAAAATATTTAAATATATAAACAATTTTATTACGTTAATTTTTAATACATGTTATTTAAATTTATATCTAACATACAATAAACACTTAATACAATTTTATTTAATTATATACATTTATACAAAAACACCACCGTCTACCATATGTCTCCAAAAACTACCTATGTTTCTCCCAATGTCCAATGTCTTTTTAAAATCATTTCATATAATAATTATCCACTTTATGTTTTCATTTGAACATCACTTTTCTCCTTCATATCATTTTCAATATCATTTTCCTCATTTTGGAAATTTCAAAATTTTGTTATATTTTGTTATTCCTTCAAAATTTGTTTTTTTCTATAATGTCCTTGTGAATTTATTTTTCGATTATTACCAATCATTAGCCGGCTTAGGACTTAAACAAAAATCATCATCGTCCTCTTCCTCCTCTTCTGGTAAGTTCAAGTTTAATGTCCTAAATTTGTTGTTATGTTGTTGACCCACCAGCAATTTTTTTTAAATATATAATCCTCCTACCAATACAGAGGCACTTGTAATTGTTTCTTTATATTCTATTACAACATTTTATGGGGCTTTTTGAAATATAATTTTTAAAATATTTATAATAATCACGTCTTCATTTTTAAATCTTGTGGAATGATAAACTATTGTTATGTTCAATCCTTATAAAATTGCAAACATAAGCAAAAAGGTTGAAATAAAGTAAACGAATAAATGTTCTAAAGTCTAGACAACCAAAGCTTTTATAATTTGTTCACAATAATGCAACTTAAAAACCTATTGCAAAACTGTAAAATTCAAAATGTACAGTATTTTAACTTTTTATTAAAAAAAATTAAACAAGTTTTAAAATCCATTTTGGCAACTCTTAAAATGGTTTGCTATTTTACAAGGCTTAAAAAAGAGGATGTGATTACTTATATTATTTGGTGTGTTGTATTTAATATATTTTTTTAGTGCAAGTAATTTTCTTTTAATTATTATGTGTATAATTGGGTATTTTATATGATTTAAGTAATACTTTTAGTTTTTTTTTATTATTTATACACTTTTTTAGTTTGTTTTATTATGAGATTTTATAAAAATACTTTTATCATCTCTAGAAATTATTTACACACAATACATTTAACATTTTATTAGAAAATACAAAATACAATTGGTTGAACGCCGCACTCATCACTGTTAGATTGGTGTAATTATTTTTAAAAGTTTAAAGGATAAATAAAACAACAATCAGATTACATACATACATATGTATATGGGTTTAACGAACTTTAAACCTTCTTTTTACAATGTATGCACCGAAGACAGATTCAAAGCGAATTCTTACAAAGTGATATTCATTCAAACAACTAAACTGTTTTTGAGAATTAAAAATTTAACTCGAGAATCGTATTTACCCGACTTTGTTTTAATGTGCTACTGAATTCATATTCTATACATTCGCTTTCCCTGGATAATAATGAGTTAAAACATCTCAAATCAATCTGGGCACATATCTTGTTCGTGCTATTGTTTCCTCAAAATCTCTGTTGCACTGAGTAAAAAAGAGATTGTCGAAAGATTGAATTTAAATTGCTAAAATTTAATATTTTTATATTAATTTTAGTTAATTTTTTAATTTCAACTGTAAATAAAGTTTTTTTTTGTGTCTCTTTTTAAAATATGTTTTGTTATCTTTGTATATACAGTTTTGCATTGTCAATGTCTAATTCTAAAACCATAAACATTTGTTCTCTAAATAAATACAATGGTGATCAATTAGAACAAAAAGCAAGAATTCTATATAAAAAGTTCAAAAATTGTTTATATAATTAATATATTTTTTTTTCAAAAGAGAAAAATTTTAATAATTTCTATGAAAAAAGAAAAAATTTCGAAAAATTTCTATAAAAGAAATCAAATAATTTTATACGAAAAAAGCCAAATTACGAATAATTTCTATAAAAAAAATACATTTCGATATAATTTGTTATTAAAGGAAACAAATTCTAATAATTTTTATGAAAAAGAGGAAATTTTGAAAATTTTCTTTGTAAATTTTCTATAAAAATCGAGAATATTTCGAAAATTTTATATAAAAAAGTTAAAATTACGAAAATTCTATAAAAAGAGATAAAATTTTCTAAAAAAAAAGAAAATTTTCGAAAATTTTTTTTAAAACCAGTTAAATTTTCGAAAATCTTTAAGAAGAAAATAGATTTAATAAAGATATAATTTCAAAAATTTCTATAAAAAGGAGAAAATTTCTACAAAAAATAGATAATTTCGAAATTTTTTCTTAAAAAAAGAAAAAAAATTTGATTAAAAGTAGAAATTTTTAAAAGTAAAAAATGATGTTTCGAAATTATTTAATAAAATGAAAAATTTTCGAAAATTTTATATAAAAAAAAGAAAATTTTGAAAATTCTAAAAAAAGAGAGATAAATTTTCTATACATTTTCTATAAAATAGGTAAAATTTCAAAAATTTTCTATGAAAAAAAGATTTTATGAATTTAATTTTCAAAATTTTCTGTAAAAAATACATCAGTTTTTAAAAATTTGCTATAAAAAAGAAATTTTTGAAATTATTTTATTAAAAGAAATTCTCTATAAAAGAAAAATTTTCAAAATTGTTGTTATTTTCAAGTATAAGTTGATCTAATTAACTCAGCACCATTGTAAATATTTACATATACATATGACCATTTAGTAGTTTGTCAAACAGTGATGTTTATAAATTTAAACTCCCAACACTTATTATATTTTACACATTGGAACTTGAACACTCTACACCAGCTTTTAAAAATTCTTAAAACTCTTTTAAAATTAAAAAAATAAAACTTTTACAAAATTTTCAATTATTTTAACATTTCTCTATTTAATTTTCTCTTCTTTTTCTATAAACTCTATATGAAAACAAATCTGTTTGGTCGTTTTGGTTTAAATGTAACTCTCTCATACTCACGCATAACTCTTCATAAATTCATCTTTATCTAAACAAATTTGGCTATTTAATTTAATAATAAATGGACTGCTAATGTTAATGCTTACAAAAATTAAATATTGCACCTTAAAAATAATCATATTTCATTATTGAAATAATAAAACACACTCACTCACATCTTGCATGTAAATATGTGTTAATGCTTTTTTTTTGGAAATAAAATATTTAAAAACAAAAAATCAAAAGTAATTGATCCAACCCTTGTGGAGGAATCAACATACGATGAGTTAGCTTTAAAAAGTACTGCTTCGAAGCCTCCATTACCACCATCTGCACTGTTGGTGGTGCCCAATGATGAGTCAGCATCTTCTAATAATACCAACAATGTCAATGTTATTAATTCCTCTCACTCTGAAGGCATGCTGGAAGAGGGACGTGTCGTTACTGTGCGCGATTTACTCAAGGGCTTATACGAAAAGGCCTGTCAGCAGAAACTCTGGGGTTTGGTACGTCATACCGCCGGTATGTTGGGTAAGCGAGTGGAGGATTTAGCCAAAGCTGTTACCGATTTGTTGGTACGTCAGAAACAAGTGACCGTGGGCATGCCACCGAATAATGAGTTTACCATAACGGCTCCCTTACCCGAAGCAGACTTAAGACAGTTGATACATGATGTTTGTATTTGAAATGTGTTTCTTTGGTTTTTAGTTTTAAATTGTAATTTATTTTCTTATTTTAAAGGCTTATGGTGATGATGAAAGTACCGCTATGTTGACACAAGAATTAATGGTTTATTTGGCCATGTTTATACGCACCGAACCACAATTGTTCCATGAAATGTTACGTCTTAGAGTTGGTCTTATTATTCAAGTAATGGCCAAGGAATTATCACGTACTTTGAATTGTGATGGTGAGGCGGCCTCGGAACATTTGTTGAATTTGTCACCTTTTGAAATGAAAAATCTTTTATATCATATCTTAAGTGGCAAGGAATTTGCTGTAAGCAGTGGTAGGTTTTTAGTTATATTTAAAATATTATTACTCCTTAAACTGTTGTTTATTATAAATATTATAGTGGCTCGTGGCAATCTATCCATTGTTAGCTGTAAATCCAGCCGTGTTAGCAAGAAGAGTCAAATTGGTTTGGGTGACCCAGAGGGTGAAGATGCCTTAATCGCCAGTATTGATGATAGACAGGGACAATGGTTACGTAGACGTCGTCTAGATGGTGCTCTTAATCGTGTGCCACGTGATTTCTATTCGCGTGTCTGGTCAGTTTTAGAAAAATGTCAAGGTTTGGCCATAGAAGGTCGTATTCTACAACAGAGTTTAACCCAAGAAATGACTCCTGGCGAGTTAAAGTTTGCCTTGGAAGTTGAGACAGCCTTAAATCAAATACCCCAACCGGAATATCGTCAATTGGTGGTGGAGGCTTTAATGGTTTTGACTCTGGTAACCGAACATAATATGGTACCAAATTTGGGTGGTATTATATATGTCGAACATTTGGTGCACAAAGCCAATCAATTGTTTTTGGAAGATCAACGTAAGGTTCAGGGTGATGCTACACTCTGCTGTGCCAAATCCAAAGATGGTAAGGAACAACACCAGGCCGCCTCTGGTATGTTGTTGTGTGGTGGTGCTGCATATATTTGTCAACATTTGTATGACAGGTGGGTATATCAGTGTTAATACTTTTTTTTTTTACTAAAATCTAAAATTTCTTTATTTTCTTAATTTAGTGCTCCTAGTGGCAGTTATGGCACTATGACTTATATGGCACGTGCCGTAGCTTTGGTCTTGGATTGTCTTCCCAAACATGGTGAAATGGAATGCGCCATTTCCTAATCATTTTATAAAGTATACGTTTTCTCGAATGAGTTTTATCTCATGCTTTAATTTTGCTGAATTTTAAGTTTGCTATTTAACCATTACAATAAAAAAGTGTTTTTAGTTGTTTAATTATTAATGTTTAGTTCTATTTTTTGTTTTTGTAACAATTCATTAAGAAATTTTACTCGAAATTTTGTTGAATTTTATGAATTTATTTTGTAATTAAGTGGAATAATCCATACATATATTTTATTTACATATATAATCTATTTTATTTGTTTTCTTAGAACAAAATAATAAAGTGCATAGAAAATTGTAATAAATAAATAATGTTTTATTTGAAACAGGATTTCTTATCAGTAAGCTATTTGTCGAGAAAAAAGATTGAAGAGTCTCTATAAAGAGATAATATGTATTTCTCAAAATTGTTTATAAAAAAAGGAAATGGCTTGGTTTTAAATAAATTTCTTTTGGAAAATTTTCTATTTAAAGATAATTTTTAAAAATGATCTCGAAAACTAAAGAACATTTTTAAGAATTTTCTATACAATTTTCTTACGTTCTAATAAAAAGAAAATTTTTGTAATTGTATCCATTATTTTCCCATAATATTCAATATTTTATTATTTTTGAAGGACAAATCTGTAAAGTGTGTTTATTTTTAAATATGTACATAAATACGTTTTTAGTTCATTGAAAATTTTAAGCTTCCATTTCCGCCTGTTTTCTATACAAAATTGCCATTCCGGTTCTGATACTTGTTAAACTCAAAAACTTGTTAAGCTGTTTGTTAAAAAATATATGGCAACTCGAAACGAATACATACTAGTGCTGTAATATTCTACTACTTTTGATTACTCAATAATACTCAATACTTTTCGTTTGGGTATTCAATACTACTCGATACTTTTAACGGTTTATTTTAAATTAAAAACGAGGAATTTTTCCTTTTTTTAAGTAGAGTTAGACCAGACATCACACCTCTTTTGAGACATTTTATTTTTTTAGATTGCGTCAATAAATATTTGTAACTTTTTAACTATTATTTCAGTTTGTTTGTTTGTTTGTTTGTTTGTTTGTTTGTTCTTTAAGTTACTTAGTATTCGAAACTAAGATTTATTTGGCCAGTAATTAAAATTATACAACGCCATCACCAATTCTAGCTAGAAAAAACTAGCTCATATGTTAAAAAAATTAAAATTAAAAACTTAGGTTAAGTCAAAACGAATGCACATGGCCAAATATGCACCTCAAGAAAAACTGTAACTCAGTACAGTTATCTGACGTCACACATTGGCCAATGCTGTTTGAGACGCAAAACTCTCGAAGGCAGAGCAAAAAGGACGGCCTGATCACCCTTAAACGATAATGGCAACGACGCACGACGATCTTCCTCCACCCAGAGCTGAATTACGAATGTATTATTTCAGTTATTAAATTATTTTTACATTTTGATTTGATATTGCTAAGAGTTGCATTTCTAATAATGATATGACCTGTATTAGTTGTAGAGCTGTATTTTTTCACATCATAGCTGTTAAATTTAAATAAGTTAAATCCATATACAAGTCTGAAAGTATTGAGTAACTACTTTTTAGTATTGAGTACCCAAAAAATAGGGCAAATACTCGATACCCACTACTCAATACTTTAACAGCACTGATACATACCAGTTCAAATTATCCAATTTGCTCTGTTTACTTTACATTTCCGTTTATTTTTATTTTTAACATCCAGATTTTGATTTTTTAACAAAAAATATGTATAGGAAATTTGAAAAAATTTTAGTTTTTATTACCTTTTCAATATTTTTAGCTCATTTTGCATATTTAAACACAATTTTATACTAAATTAACTATATCCGCTATTATTACCTGAAATTCCAATATTTTCTGCATCATTTCCGCTTTATTTCAGACAACATCCCTATATTTCAACTATATGGCAGCATCATCATTTATTTCAACTACATTTTCACTTCCCATAAACAGACATATTACAATTTAATGCAATTCCAGTTTTAAATTTATTTCCGCCTAATAAGGTAACTTCTCTTGTTGCTCATTTGTTAACTGTCTGACAAAAATTTCTCATGCGTAAAGACAAAAGGTCTGTTCATTTATTTCCCAGTAAATTCAAAATTTACGAAATTACTCACAAAATTAGTAAAAAGTAAATAAACGCTGTACTACACCATTTCCAGTTGTATTTCAGAAGTTTCAAATTGATTTTTAGAAATTTCTAATTATATTTCAAAAATTTCTAGTTATAATGCAGAAATTTCTAATTACGTTTCAGAAATATATTTTATATTACAGAAAATTCTAATTATATTTCAGAAATATATATTATTTATTTCAGAAATTTCTAATTATATTTCACAACTTTCTAGTTATATTTCAGAAATTTCTAATTATATTTCAGAAATTTCCAATTCTATTTCAGAATTTTCCATTTGTAGTTCAGAATTTTCCATTTTTATTTCAGAAAATTAAAATTGTATTTCAGAAGTTTCCAATTGAATTTTAGAAATTTCTAATTATATTTCAAAAATTTCTAGTTATATTTCAGAAATTTCCGTTTATGTTTCAGAAATATATTTTATATTTCAGAAATATATTTTTTATTTCAGAAATTTCTAATTATATTTCACAACTTTCTAGTTATATTTCAGAAATTTCTAATTATATTTCAGAAATTTCCAATTCTATTTCAGAATTTGCCATTTGTAGTTCAGAATTTTCCATTTTTATTTCAGAAAATTTAAAATTAACTTAAAAATTAATTCCTATTGTATTTAAGTACTTTCTAATTGTTGTATTTAAGAAATTTTCATTCGTATTTCAGAATTTTCCATTTGAATTTCAGAAATTTTACATGAAAATTCTATTAAAAATTTCTGAAATAGAAATGGAAAATTCTGAAACGCGCTCTTGTTTCATTATCTTCTTGCAAGTTGTTTTGAGTACTAACTAGTAACAGTACTAACTAGTAACAACTTTAAGTTATTGAACTGCAACTTCATGGGCTTGCAGTGGAACGTATGTATGTACAAAGTTATACATAGTCATTTAAAGATAAATAAAATAAAAGAACAAGTATACAGCATAGTCGGTCATGGCAGACATACATAAAAGGTATTATATTATAACACCCTACACCAGTTAACTCATAACCAGTTTTTTTAAATTCGAATTATTTTTTATAAAAAAGCATTTATGTTGATTTTTACTTTAATTCAGATGTACTTAAACAATTTATTGATGAACAACCAATTTTCTAAAAAAGGCTTTATATGGGAGTTCGGGTCAAATATGGGCCGATCCTCTTAAAATTTGAAGGAAAATTTAATTTTTATATAAAAAAAATAGGTTACAAATCAATTATACACCAGTTAACTCATAACCAGTTTTTTTAAATTCGAATTATTTTTTATAAAAAAGCATTTATGTTGATTTTTACTTTAATTCAGATATATTTAAACAATTTATTGATGAACAACCAATTTTCTAAAAAAGGCTTTATATGGGAGTTCGGGTCAAATATGGGCCGATCCTCTTATAATTTGAAGGAAAATTTTATTTTTATATAAAAAAATAGGTTACAAATCAATTATAGACGTTTAAGGCATATAAAACCTCACAATGCTGGCATAACTCTTGTCGTAGTTATGAGCTAAAAAGTCTAAATCGGAAGGTTTGATTGTATGGCGGTTAGATGAAATAATGGACCAAAAGACATACATATATGATCCAAAATATCTTCAAAATATCAATGTATCATGAAAATATCATAAAAAAGCCAGCCAGTTGGTCGGACGAGTATGTCTTAATCGTCATAAGAATATTTTTGGAAATGAAAAGGCAGCTTACAATGCGAAAAGAATCGATTCCTTGATGCAAATCCCATGGTCTTTGAAAGATGCTCTGTCAGTAATTGAGTTCACGCTAAAAGGTGAATGTAGCACAGTATATGATCATATTAAGAACACAAAGGTCATAGAATTTGGAAGAGTTTTTCTTGGACATTGCATAAATATTGGACTTTTGACATTGACTCAAGGAACAAAAAGCCCGCCTACTTGAAAATGGCGAACAGAATTTTAAGTGCTCACACTTATTGTGGACAAATTTTGATTAAAACAAGAACTGGAAACTCTGATGAATGCGGAAATTGTGCAGTATCATTTTTCCACATATAACCGAATTTTTGAATTCTATAGATGTTATAATGTAATCCATAGCGGTTAATGAGACACTTGTATTAATGAAAATACTATTGAATACTGGGCTATTTGTAGCTGAAATTACTTACGGGACAAGTAAATCTTAGTTTTCATTTTAGTGAAACGAAGTAACTTAATTCGGGTACTCAAATCGCATACCTAGTTGATATTACAAAAATTGTAGCACAATTTAAATGACCCGTTATGTTCTTAATAATTTTGTATATGATTTCTATAAACTCGCCCCTGGTGTGAACATCATAGTAAAAAAAAACAGTTTAGAGATTTTTTTTGAGAATTACGGGATTTTTGATAATAAATTTTGAATTTTTCTCCTTTAGGATAGGTTTCAATATTTTATATAACCGATGTGTCCCACTTTGAAAATTCCTCTTTATGGACATGAAATTTTATTAAAATCGGACAAACCGTTTAAAAACTGCACAATTATTTTTTACTGTTTTTTTTCGTAACTGTCTCACTGTGTGACATTTAAGCTTATTTTTTGTTGTTGTTGTTTTTATCCTAACTGCATTTAGTGACGCGTTCGACTTAATGGTGTAGAGAAAAAAAATAAAGTGAATTTAAGAAAAATTGAGAAAAAGTGTTAAAAAATCTAATAATATTATTAAAAAAGTTTATAATAAAAGTCAAAAGCAAAGTTTATTGAGTGTAAATAAAAAAATCATTCAAATGTGTTTGCAAAAAGTCTGCATTATGCAGTTTAATAAGAATTGCATCTGGATGCATCCTATTGTTAAAAATCTTAAAAAAAATAAGAAAATCTTTATAGAAAGTGTTAAAAAATGAAGTAAAAGTGTTATGTTATAAAAATATAAAGCAAAAGTTTAAGAGAAATAAGTGATAATATGAAAAAAAGTTGTAATACCAAAGTGATGCCCTTGGGTGTCTCAATTGTCTCGTTCGGTTTTCGAGGTGATCTTTAATGGTGTCGTTACTGCTGCCGGAGCAGGCATCAGTCTGAAAATTGTTTCTAAATATCTTTGCAAAGTTGTAGTGAAAATTTGATGACCTTCGGCGTTCTCCGTGTTCCTTTCCATATTAATATGATGCGCTTCGGTGTCTTGTCTGCTGCCGGAGTAGATATCGTTTCCTAAAAGCTTTGCAAAATTTTAGTGAACATTTGATGGCCTTCGGTGTCCTACATGTCTCTTCCGTTTTAAGTGTTATCCTTAATCAGCTCCGGCGACCGTTCCGCAAGGTTGCCGGAGCTGATGTCGGTCGTAATGTCTCGTTCGGTATTATCTTTGTTTATATTGCCGGAGAAAGTGTCGGTCGTGAATTTGCCTCTAAATGTCCTTGCGTGGAGTGTGAAATGTTTGTTTTTGTTCCATTTAAGACTTTCCGTTTGAAAGTCTATAAAATGTTTCGTTCCCTAGCGATAAAAACTGTTAAAGTCAATAGTCTATTATCGGCATAATATCAATTTTGTTAAAACGGATAAAGCCTTACAGGCACGTTTATAACACTGAGGTTGTATGTATGATGGTTTAAAGTGTTTCGACGTTAACTAAAATTACATGAGATTTAAATTTCATGTCTACTATTGTGTACTATGTACTTTTAATAAAATCATGTTTGGAACCATAATAATCTCCATCCATCAAAATATCAATTTGCAGCTAATTGGTAAGGTAAGTTAGAAATATCCTACTTTAAAAACAGAAGATCTTTTTCATGTTTCAGTTATTTGTTATTTCGATGGATTTTGTTTCATCATAAGTGTTTATCGTTTATTCATAAGTGTTTTGCTTATTAAAACAAGAATCAAGTTTAAGAAACCATAATTACAAACAAATTTGAATCCCAATTTAAAAACTGAGTGGTCTCACAAAAAAAAAAAAAACTTATTTTTTCTTTCTCTAAAGAATCAAATTTTAAAATATGTGGTTCAACTTTCGATCGGAATGGAATTCCGTTACTGAACAGAATATTTCATTTTTAAAAAACTTCTCCCAAAAACCAATTTATCTTAAAATAAAACAATTTACAAATGTTTAGTATTTTTTGTGTATTAATAGTGTTTTCAAATTTTAATAGTAAATTTTGTTCTGAAGAAAATTAATTTAAGTATTTTTTCTGTTTAGTGCATTTAAAAATACAAAAACAGTTTTGGTTTTATTGATTTTTTTTATAAATGTTCTTAGAATTAAAGACACATTTTCAAGCATTTTGTAAATTAAACGATATTTTCAATATACTTCTCAAAACAAAATGCTTAAAAGTCTAAGCTAAGCTGACTTTATTTGCCAAAATTGATTAATAGAAAGAGATTTAAAACAAAAAGAACATTAAATTAATCAAAAGATAGTACAATTAAACATGAAGAATTTATAACAGGAGGATCATCAGGGTGTTAACTAAATAAATGTTAGTTGGTTTGTTTGTTTTTCTAACAAAAAAAGTGATTGATTAAATTAAGTAGTTTATAAAATGTAGAGAACATCATGAGTTATGCAAAAGGATGATGATAAGTAAAAGAATTAGCTTAACAGTAGCCACGATCGGGTACACGTCTTCTGGGTGCACACTTAATAATATTATCAACACGCAAAATCATTTCGGCGGCCTCAGAGGCAGACAAAAGGACTTGACGTTTGACGGCAAATGATTCAGTGATGCCCAATTCTTTCATATCACCCACTTTGCCCTTTTCCATATCAAGACCAGCTGTGGTTTTGCCTTGGGCATGAGCAGCTCTCAATTCGGAAACCAATTGGGCGGAGTCATAGCCAGCATTGTCGGCAATGGCAGTGGGTAAAGCCAAAAGAGCACCTAATATAAAAATTAAATAAAAAGAATTACAATTTTTTCAATATATTCAAATTTAGCTTTAAAACTTACGTGCAAAGGCCTCCATGGCAATGGCTTCCTTGCCAGCTGTTTCAGCAGCCTTCTTCAATACTGCATTGGCCATTAAAGCTTCTGACGAACCACCACCATAAATAATACGTGATTCCTTAACTGTGGCAGCCAAAACGCACAAAGCATCATGCAATGAACGATCAGCTTCATCCAAAATTTGTTGTGTAGCACCACGAATAACAATGCTACAAGCTTCACCCATTTTAACACCACTGAAACGCAAAAGAGTGTCCTCACCAATCATAACTTGTTCAATTAGATCACATTCACCCAATTTAACCAAAGCAGGATTTTCAAAAGTCGATACAATTTCACCACCGGTGACCAAAGCTAAACGTTCAATGCCATCGAAATCGGCATGTTCAATAGCCATAACACCAGCATCGGCAAACAATTGTTCGGGGTAATTGTAGATCAATTGACGATTGATGAATACGTTACAATTGTGATTTAAGATCTTTTGTACTTTATCCTTCATTTTCTCTTTTTCGGCCAATTCCAAGTCAGCAATTTTAGCTAAACTGTCAACCTTAATGGTACTGCCGAAAACTTTGATTTTGTCAGTATCCATAGGGGTGTTGGCAATGAGGATTTTAGCGTTTTCAATCTAAAAATGAAAAGTAAATTAAGGTTTAACTCATTAGATTTACTAATGAAAATAGAAAAACTTAATGCACTTTAATGAATCTTTAAACACTTCACAACACAGTATCGATAATCTCTGATATTTGATTGAGGAAATTTTTATAGATAAGTATTTAGATTTTTTAAATGACTTTAAAATTAGGCCAAATTTTACAATTTTTAAAGAAATATTGTTCGGAATTTTTTGATGTTTTTTAATACACCATCAAACTCGTCAAAATGGCTGTGATATGAAATATTAATATAAAAACATAATTCACAACCAATTTGACGGTCCGAGAGTGTACAGAATTTGTTATTCTAAAAAAGGTATTTAAATGGTTAAAAGATATAAACAAACTTACTCTTTGTGGTTGGTGTACACCAGGTTTTTTGTCCAGCAAGAAACCTTCATCCAAAAATGAATCATCCAAGGTACCACCGCTCTTCTTAATAATTTGAATGGCATGCAATTCACCAGATCCCTTCAAGCGCAAAACAGCATCTACAGCCAAATTAGCAAAGAAATCTTTGTGTTGATGTAAAATCTTGGAGGACAATGTTGTGCGGGCAATATTCATAAGATCTTCCTTAAATTTAGCATCATTGGCCGAGTTGTCTTGTGAAGATTGGATAAGAGCTTCACGAGCTACCTTGGTGGCCATACGCCAACCAGCAATAATAATTTGTGGATGAAGTTTTTGGTCGATGAGTTTTTCAGCTTCACGCAAAAGTTCAGCAGCTAAAACTGTGACAGAAGTGGTACCATCACCGACTTCTTCGTCTTGGACGCGGGACATATCGACTAAAATCTTGGCTGCAGGATTGTCAACACCGACAGAACGCAAAATAGTGGCACCATCATTGGTTATACTGACTTTACCGGCTTCACGACCATGGGACACCAAGATCTTGTCCATACCTTTAGGGCCCAAAGTACTCTTAACCAAATCTCCAATAGCAATGGCTCCTATGAAAGAAGACAGACGAGCCATCTCGGCTTTTTCTTCTTGTGCCTCATTTTTGAGAACACGTACAGGATTTAAAGACATCTCCTACAATTTTCATTAAAAAAAATAAAAAAAATCGCTATTAGCCATAGTAAACATCTGGTAACTCAAGTCATTGTAAGAAGGCGTTAAAACAGGAATACGGCCGCTTTTTAACATAACCTTACTTATTTCTACCGAAAAATCTCTTTTCAATTAAATTTCTCTTTTAAAACCTAAAAATCCTTGTTTGCTTCTACAAAAACAAGAGAAAAATTTAACTTCAATAAACCAAGAGTATGATTCATCTTCAAACACGCTGTTTTATGTCTCATGCCGACCAAAAAACTAAAGTATGCCATAAATTTCAACTCAAACTGTTTAATTTTAACAATTTTCCTAAATTTAGCTGTATAATATCCACAAAAACCTTACAATTTCCTTCAATTTCTATTGCATTTTAGAATAATCTGGAATAAAAACCTCACGTGCATTTTTTCTTTTCTTCTTTTTTCATCCACTATTACACAGCTTGTATGTGAGTGAGACACTCATTCATTTTACCCCGCCGCTAATTGTTAATTTAATGATGCGGTCATTGTGCTTCTCAATACACATCGTTTTTCTTCATTCTTTAATTTTTTTTGCTATTCAACACCCGGCAATTTTGTTACGTTTTATCTTCACAAATATCACTTAAATTTATTATCATCATTTATCTAAACATTCATTGTGATGTAAACTCATAGTTTTTATTTATATTATTAAAGAATATTGCAATAATTTACCATTTTTATTGAAAAATTTAATTCACTATTATGTTTTCTGTTCACAGCCAAAGAAAACACCCGTATGGAAAAAAATGAAAATGGCGAATGACATGAGTTTGTTATACAGGGTTGTATTTTTGTTATTCATCAAAGAACCCTACGCCGACAAACATTAACGACGGCGTCGGTTTAAAATCGGCTGTAAGCCGGCTAAGGTTTCAGCTGTGTTTTTAAATTTTATAATGATAATTATTCAAGTGGTTTCATAGCATTATGCTTAAGTATTCTCCGGGATAATTTAACCCCTATGGTAAAGCATAAAATCTGTTCAGAGATTAAATGATCAGAGACTTCGTTTACATTTCTTTGACTTAAAACAACCTTCATAACATTAAAAAAATACAAAAATTACTCTTTAGGCGTGATTATAAAAGATAGTATTTCTTAAAAATACCAAAATAACACATAATTACCCAGTTTTACCCGTTTCGTTTGAATTACGTAAAAATGTGGTTTTTTTAAGTCCTTTGCTCCATTAAAATATAAATATTTAAAATTTTAACGTATAGAACATTTTTTTTTGCCTAAGAATGGTCTTTTAAAATATACATATTTCTGAAACTATATAAATCATAGTTTATAATATTTTGGCTTTAGAAATTAAAGCACGAATAGAACGATGCTTAATATCGTTAACATGAAACAAATTAAATATTTGGCGATTTCCCATACTTTTTTTTATTTTGGCAACACTCTTTAATTAATGTGTTATACCACAGGGTAGTATTTATGGAAGAACAACAGGGTGTGTAATATGATATAAAAAATCAGTTTAATACGTTACATTTGAATAAGGTAAATAAATAATTTGGTCATTATAAACTAATTAAAAAAATAAATTATAATTTTAACTTTTGTTAAAATTATTGGCACAAAATGTACATATTGCAGTTCTGCTTTCGGTTATTCTTTCATTATTGCACTGGTGATGTACTTCTCGGGAATAAATGCTGCAGGGCTTTTCATTATTACCTAGAAAGAAAAATAGTAAAATACATTAATTTTTTATAATAAATACATTTTTTAATGAGTAATTAAAACAATTAGACGTAAAATAATATCAGATACGTGATGGGTTTTTTTTTTGGGGTGGGGATAGCTAGGACTAGTTGGAAACCTTGAAATGAAAACAAACCATTTAACGTAAGTGCGGGAGGCATCAGTTGAATTTTTAGATATTAAAAATTTTTAACAGGGATTTTATTACTCCGAAATTTTAGGTGAGAAATAAAAGTGATCACAGATTTTGTTTGCTCGATTTAAATCTTATTTAATAAACGATATCCGATTTTAGTTTTCCACTCTAAATTGATTTTTGGTGATAAATTAAAGAAATCGCCGCTCATTTGCTTTGTTTTCCATTATAAAAATCGGGGTCTGGCTTATTAAAGAACATAGTTTACTATAAAGATTTCCATGAAAAGGAGCGCACAACAGACCCGATAATGCATAAATGTCTTTATTTGGATTTGATGTAGTATACTGTCTCCCTATCAACCTAACCTAGAGACAATCAGATTCGCATACTACTGTGACAATTTATATTGCACCACGATATTTTGTTTAAGTAGAACTACGTATTTACATACCTGTCACAATAACAGCATCCAAATGAGCTATATAACTCTTAGCCAAACGTAATATCTCAATTTTAGACAATTTACGATCATATGGTTCGGTGGGTATTAATGTGCGTAAAGTATTGAAAGCCGAATTAACACTGGAAAAACTATTCAATTTATTATTTATGTAAAAAAGAAAAATTTCGCAAAATATTATGTACATACCTTTGGGTACGACAACGTTCACGAGCATTGACCACATGTCGGGGCTTAGTAGCTGTACTATTTGAAGAATCCGATTCTGAGGGACTAATGCGACTATTTGTACACATTTCCATTTGCGCGAAATTTGTATAGAATTCCATTTGTTAATTTTTAATTAATAGATATATTTTGTTAATTTATTTTTGTTTTGTTTTAATTATTGAATAATTTTTTGTTTAATACTTTTCTCCTTGTAACTAGTAGTTGGTTGGCTTTCTCCCACAAGACTGAAAATATTACATTGTTCTCAGCTACACTTATATTGTTCATTTGATCGTTTCAGAATTTTTGTATTTTATTTTAAATAATTATTTCATTTAGAGTAAATATAGTAGAACAAGTGCGGTTTGGGTTGGGATGGGATGGTATGAATTGAGTAGAAGATGGTCATATAAGATTTTTGTTTGCGTTTTTTTTGTACTTGGGCTACTGTTTTGTTTTCTACTCAAATGTATCAAATGTTTTTATTATTTGTGGCATCCACACTCTAAACGACTACTTGAATAAAAAAATACTGTAAAATGAATTAAGTCATTAATGACGACAAATTGTCCATAAACACTTGTGAAGTGTACAATGTATGAGCAATGGGAATTTTTGTTTTTATGGGATGATCATACACATTTGTATGTACATAGTTTTCGTATGGATAATGTTTCAAACAATAGTTATGTATGTTTGTACTAAGTATATAATACCAACATATTTATGTATGTGGTTATTTGGTATGACAGATAAATGGGTTTGTTGTTCTTAATCAATGGGGGGTTTATTACTTTTTTGGGTGGTCAATTTGAAGAGTGGTTGAAGTATAGTGTGATGGTTCATACAGTTGATCATATGATTTTTATATGTCAGTTGTATCTTGGTTCACAATTTTTAAATTTTAAATAGAATAACAAAAAAAAAAAAAAAAAAAAAAACATTTCATTATATTGAAGTCTGTATGTTTGCTGGGTAGTGTCAAAGATTTATTTAATTAAAATTGCTGATGTTCTTAAAGATAAATTAATTAAAATTAATTTGTTTCTCTTTTAAATTAAACTTAAGTATATATGTATGTGTAATTTTTCATATTAAATCATTGTTGTGAAAATATCGATTTTTGGTGAGAAAAATATAAACATCAATTTAAGGCTTATTTAAGGAACTACAGCTAATTTATATAAAACATATAAAAATCAATTTTTGATGAGAAATAAAAGTGATTACAGATTTTCATTGTTTTGTCGATTTGATGCTTATTTAAGGGACTAGAACCGATTTTAGTTTTTCCTATAAAAACTGATTTGTGGTGAGAAATAAAAGTGATCACAGATTTTCATTGTTTTGTCGATTTGAGGCCTAGGGCCGATTTTAGTTTTATAATATTAAAATCGATTTTTGGTGAGAAATAAAAGTGATCACAGATTTTAATTGTTTTGTCGATTTGAGGCTTATTTAAGGAACTAGCGCCGATTTTAGTTTTCCTATATAAAAATTGACTTTTGGTGAGAAATAAAAGTGATCACAGATTTTAATTGTTTTGTCGATTTGAGGCTTATTTAGGGAACTAGAGCCGATTTTAGTTTTCCCTTATAAAAATCGATTTTTGGCGAGAAATAAAAGTGATCACAGATTTTCACTGTTTTGTCGATTTGAGGCTTATTTAGGGAACTAGAGCCGATTTTAGTTTTCCCATATAAAAATCGACTTTTGGTGAGAAATAAAAGTGATCACAGATTTTAATTGTTTTGTCGATTTGAGGCTTATGTAAGGAACTAGCGCCGATTTTAGTTTTCTTATATAAGAATCGACTTTTGGTGGGAAATAAAAGTGATCACAGATTTTCATTGTTTTGTCGATTTGATGCTTATTTAAGGAACTAGAGCCGATTTTGGTGGGAAATAAAAGTGATCACAGATTTTCGTTGTTTTGTAGATTTGAGGCTTATTTAAGGAACTAGAGCCGATTTTAGTTTTCCCACATAAAAATCGACTTTTGGTGGGAAATAAAAGTGATCACAGATTTTCATTGTTTTGTCTATTTGAGGCTTATTTAAGGAACTAGAGCCGATTTTAGTTTTCCCATATAAAAATCGACTTTTGGTGAGAAATAAAAGTGATCACAGATTTTCGTTGTTTTGTAGATTTGAGGCTTATTTAAGGAACTAGAGCCGATTTTAGTTTTCCCATATAAAAATCGACTTTTGGTGAGAAATAAAAGTGATCACAGATTTTCGTTGTTTTGTAGATTTGAGGCTTATTTAAGGAACTAGAGCCGATTTTAGTTTTCCCACATAAAAATCGACTTTTGGTGGGAAATAAAAGTGATCACAGATTTTCATTGTTTTGTCTATTTGAGGCTTATTTAAGGAACTAGAGCCGATTTTAGTTTTCCTATATAAAAATTAACTTTGGGTTAGAAATAAAAGTGATCACAGATTTTAATTGTTTTGTCGATTTAAGGAACTAGAGCCGATTTTAGTTTTCCCATATAAAAATTGATTTTTGGTGGGAAATAAAAGCGATCACAGATTTTCATTGTTTTGTCGATTTAAAGGCTTATTTAAGGAACTAGAGCCGATTTTAGTTTTCCTATATAAAAATCGACTTTTGGTGGGAAATAAAAGTGATCACAGATTTTAATTGTTTTGTCGATTTGAGGCTTATTTAAGGAACTAGAGCCGATTTTAGTTTTCCAAAAAAAATCGACTTTTGGTGGGAAATAAAAGCGATCACAGATTTTCATTGTTTTGTCGATTTGAGGCTTATTTAAGGAACTAGGACCGATTTTAGTTTTCCTATATAAAAATCGATTTTTGGCGAGAAAAAAAGTGATCACAGATTTTAATTGTTTTGTCGATTTGAGGCTTATTTAAGGAACTAGAGCCGATTTTAGTTTTCCCATATAAAAATTGACTTTTGGTGAGAAATAAAAGTGATCACAGATTTTAATTGTTTTGTCGATTTGAGGCTTATTTAAGGAACTAGCCGATTTTAGTTTTTCCATATAAAAGTTGATTTTTGTTGAGAATTAAAGGTGATCACAGATTTTCATTGTTTTGTCGATTTGAGCCGATTTTAGTTTTCCTAAAAAAAAAATCGACTTTTGGTGGGAAATAAAAGCGATCACAGATTTTAATTGTTTTGTCGATTTGAGGCTTATTTAAGGAACTAGCCGATTTTAGTTTTTCCATATAAAAGTTGATTTTTGTTGAGAATTAAAGGTGACAACAGATTTTCGTTGTTTTGTCGATTTGAGGCTTATTTAAGGAACTAGGACCGATTTTAGTTTTCCTATATAAAAATCGATTTTTGCCGAGAAAAAAAGTGATCACAGATTTTAATTGTTTTGTCGATTTGAAGCTTATTTAAGGAACTAGAGCCGATTTTAGTTTTCCCATATATATAAATTGACTTTTGGTGAGAAATAAAAGTGATCACAGATTTTCATTGTTTTGTCGATTTGAAGCTTATTTAAGGAACTAGAGCCGATTTTAGTTTTCCCATATATATAAATTGACTTTTGGTCGGAAATAAAAGTGATCACAGATTTTCATTGTTTTGTCGATTTGAGGCTTATTCAAGGAACTAGAGCCGATTTTAGTTTTTCCAAATAAAAGTTGATTTTTGGTGAGAAATAAAAGTGATCACAGATTTGAATTGTTTTGTCGATTTGAGGCTTATTTAAGGAACTAGAGCCGATTTTAGTTTTCCTATATAAAAATCGACTTTTGGTGGGAAATAAAAGTGATCACAGATTTTAATTGTTTTGTCGATTTGAGGCTTATTTAAGGAACTAGAGCCGATTTTAGTTTTCCCTTATAAAAATTGGCTTTTGGTGAGAAATAAAAGTGATCACAGATTTTCATTGTTTTGTCGATTTGAGGCTTATTTAAGGAACTAGGACCGATTTTAGTTTTCCTATATAAAAATCGATTTTTGGTGAGAAAAAAGTGATCACAGATTTTAATTGTTTTGTCGATTTGAGGCTTATTTAAGGAACTAAAGCCGATTTTAGTTTTCCCATATAAAAATTGACTTTTGGTGGGAAATAAAAGTGATCACAGATTTTCATTGTTTTGTCGATTTGAGGCTTATTTAAGGAACTGGAGCCGATTTTAGTTTTCCTATATAAAAATCGACTTTTGGTGGGAAATAAAAGTGATCACAGATTTTCATTGTTTTGTCGATTTGAGGCTTATTTAAGGAACTGGAGCCGATTTTAGTTTTCCTATATAAAAATCGACTTTTGGTGGGAAATAAAAGTGATCACAGATTTTCGTTGTTTTTTCGATTTGAGACTTATTTAAGGAACTAGAGCTGATTTAAGTTTTCCCTTATAAAAATCGATTTTTGGTGAGAAATAAAAGTGATCACAGATTTTCATTGTTTTATCGATATTAAGCTTATTTAAGGAACTAGAGCCGATTTTAGTTTTCCCATATAAAAATCGACTTTTGGTGAGAAATAAAAGTGATCACAGATTTTCGTTGTTTTGTCGATTTGAGGCTTATTTAAGGAACTAGAGCCGATTTTAGTTTTCCCTTATAAAAATCGATTTTTGGTGAGAAATAAAAGTGATCACAGATTTTAATTGTTTTGTCGATTTGAGGCTTATTTAAGGAACTAGAGCCGATTTTAGTTTTCCCTTATAAAAATCGATTTTTGGTGGGAAATAAAAGTGATCACAGATTTTCATTGTTTTGTCGATTTGAGGCTTATTTAAGGAACTAGAGCCGATTTTAGTTTTTCCATAAAAAAATTGATTTTTGGTGAGAAATAAAAGTGATCACAGATTTTCATTGCTTTATCGATTTGAAGCTTATTTAAGGAACTAGAGCCGATTTTAGTTTTCCCTTATAAAAATCGATTTTTGGTGAGAAATAAAAGTGATCGCAAATTTTAATGTTTTGTCGATTTGAGGCTTATTTAAGGAACTAGAGCCGATTTTAGTTTTCCCATATAAAAATCGACTTTTGGTGAGAAATAAAAGTGATCACAGACTTTCATTATTTTGTCGATTTAAGGTAAAGTGATCACAGATTTTAATTATTTTGTCGATTTGGGGCTTATTTAAGGAACTAGAGCCGATTTTAGTTTTCCCTTATAAAAATCGATTTTTGGTGAGAAATAAAAGTGATCACAGATTTTAATTGTTTTGTCGATTTGAGGCTTATTTAAGGAACTAGAGCCGATTTTAGCTTTCCTATATAAGAATCGACTTTTGGT